CCCGGGTTGGTGGTCTTCTTCATGTTTTTTTTGGGGGTTAAAAAAAAAAAAAACCCCCCCTTTGGGTTTTGACCCCCAAAAGGCCCCTTTGGTTTCAAAAATTAAAAGGCCCCCATTCCCCACCCCCCTTTTTGTGGTTTTTTTTGCAAACCCCAAAATTTTTGCCCCCCCCCCCCCCCCCCCCCCCCCCCCGTGTTGACGTGTACCGCTGGTGGCTCAACTGGGAGGTGTTCTCAAAGACGCTCACCCTCGTATTCTTCTTGAAACGTAATCTAACCTATCCAAATTTGGTAGTTCCTCCGGTCCGCCAGTTAGTTCAGATTCGAGGGAAAGTGGTTGTATAGCTCGTGCCCCCTTGCGGTTTTTTTCAAGCTTTTTTCTTCGTTGCTTTCGTAACGAGCTAAGGCAAGGCAAAGAAGCTCACCCTCGTACTCTCCTTGAAACGTAATCTAACCTATTACCATTCGGTACACAGCTTGGAAACAAGTTATTGCCTCTTATCATTTTTTTTCTCCCTCTTTGATCTTGACGCGTGTGTGTGTTTGTGCAGTACTTGGGCGAGCCAGCAGAGGTTGCTCGAGAGAAGGAGCGGGAGCGGTCGGCGGGACTGTTAGCTCTCAACAGTTGCGGGTTTGCAGCGGAGGAGCAACGGAGGGCGCTCAAGCGCTTGTGCAGGTGACAAGTGTGTCCTGTGTCGCTGCTTGCTGTTGTTGTTGCTGTTGTTGCTGGGAGTGCTCGACAAAGGGTGTGGGCCAAGGGAACGCCTTCGCGATAAGTTGTGTTTTTGAGGAAATAGAACAGCGAGGGGGTACGCAGACCGTATTCCCCAACCCTAACCCAACTTGCCGGATTGCATGCTATATCCAACATGTTTACTTAATAGAAGAAAAAAACTTCGAAGGCTTCTGGGTCCAAAACGGCCTGGTTTTTTGTTTTGTTCAAAAGCTATTGGGGGGAAGGGTACCCATGTATTGCATGCCTTTGCTGTCGAACCGTTGACCACGCGTCCTCGAGAGGACGGGACGTTGTGAATAGGGCGGGGTCGTTTTGAGGTTATTCCGGTGGCGTGGTCTGTTCGATCGATGCAGTAGGGAGTAACTGTCGAAGATATGCTACTCACAGGGTCGTGCTGAAGGTGCGCGTGTTCGACACTCGACTGCAGCTGCTTGTGTTTGATTTTGTAGCGGAGGTGCCTTGTTCGACCACGGATCCCCGTGTCCGTTGCACGGATACGTGCGCGACAGCATGTATTTCCAAAGCGCTAATCCTGCGCCCCACTTACCGTGTGACGACTCACGTTCTTCGCTTGTTGGGGCCCTTCCCTCGCCGCGCCTGGCCTCCTGTCACGCTCCTGTCCTGTTCTCTCAGCTCGTTCGCGGTGGACCTGCACAGTCTAAGGGCGGCCGGGCTAGCCTTCGAGCTCAAGACTTCCGGGTGGGTGATGCGAGACCTCGCCGTGCACATGGGGCCCAACGGCCTCGGGCTTCAGCTGGACGTGCGGCACGGCGGGGTGGTGGTGGACGGCCTCACGCAAATGCCGCCTGGGGTTTCCAATCCGGGGCAGGTTCGTTCGTTCATGTTGACATGTTTGTGGGGGGGGGGGGGGGGCCCCCATGTACCCCCCTGCCCCCCCCCGAAAAAACCAGGAAAAGGGGGCGGAAGTTTTTCCCTTGCCTCCGGGCCCGGGGGGGGGGGGTTTTTTTTATTATTA